CCGATGAAGTGGGCTGTAGCCCACGAAAGCTTATGCTGTAATAAATTTGTTCATCTCAAAGGTGCTGCAAGTACTCCTGTTCTTTTTGCAGATACAGACTAACATGGCTGCTACTCTGAAACCAGTAAGTTTTAAGTTAAAATGAATGTACAAGGATAATAGTATGGTTGAGTTTCATGCTGGGAGCAGCTTTAGAAGTGTACCTTTGTATAGATAAAATGGCCAATTAAAGTGGCAGGAATAGAAACTTTTGCAAAGCTTGTGTCAAAATGTTTGAAAGCAACAGATCAGAGAGGAACAGAATCACTTCGGAAGTCATCTCTTCCTTAATGGAGCAGGAGACTTTCAGTTGTCCCACTTGATGGCCTTGTTTGGCAACCCACCACAATCAGTCCCAGAGATAAATGCGAACATCTTTATTGTTAGGGTGAACAACAAAACACAATCAAGGGCCAAGGGAGCAAAGAAGGACAAAGCTATATTCTAGCATGCAAGAATGAATTCCATGACTTCAAAGGGTATGTCTACAATGCAATTAAGACACCCACCTCCAGCCCATGCCAGCTGACACAGGCTTGCCAGGCTCAGAGTAAAGCGCCATTTAATTTGGATGTAGACATTCAGGCTCAGGCGGAGGCCTCAGTTCTGGGACCCCGTAAAAGGGGAGGGTCCCAGAGCTCAGGCTCAAGCCCAAGCCTGAATGTCTACACCCTAATTAAACAGCTTATTAGCCCTAGCACCATGAACCTGAGTCAGTTGGCACAAGTCAGCAGTGTGTTTTTATTTGTAGTGTAGCCATCCCCAAAGTGGCCAGGGCAGACAAAACATTGTTCACATATCTTGGAACTATGCCAGCACATCACCACCAGAACCATGGGACTTTACGTAGTTTTTTTAGGTTCAAATCTCATGTACCACCATGCAAGGAATATTAATAATAGTTTGTTCGCACCCTTCAGGATCAGGCCCCCATCTTCCCAGATTATACAAATGTAGCACAACATTCTTTTCTTAAACTCCTTCAAGCAAAGATTAAACAAATTAGTGTTACAACCAAGTTTGGGTAGCCGGGACAAGGATAAGAGGAATAAGATCACATTGATTATAGACATGAGAGTACATCTTAATAGTCCCAAATCAAGATTTTTTTTATTTTTGAGATGAAGACGCATCAACATTCCTCACCAATCCTCCACTTGCCCACAGTCTAGCTGTCAACAATAAAATACATTAGCAGTTGTAGAATCAGGCCTTAAAGGGCAAAGGTAAGTGTGCTCAGTGGTTTTGAATATAACATGTAAAAAAGTTAAACTTGAAAGAACTTCATAAGCAGTAATTACAAGCAGAAAGTACATTTAAGGTTTTTATACTGTAAAAAAATATTCAGTTACATTATTTAAACTCATACATTATTAAGCCATAGCTGTATCTTTGATTTGTATGCAACTATTTCTTTCTCCCGTTCTCTTCCCCACCTCCCATAAAAAAAGTTTCTTCACAACCTAATATTGGAATTTCTGCAGGGTGTTATAATTTATAAGAATCTGTATTTGTTAACATGGAAATGTTTTATTTTAGATATCACGATAGAATGTAAATTCTGAATATGCATTCTTCATGTATTTTAATCCATCAGCTAATTGGTCTAGGTTTTTTAAAGCTCACAGCTCCATGTAAAAATTGAACTTTTTTTAAAATTAATTTTGTTGGTAGCTATCATATCAAACCAATTTTAGCGAGAACATATTAAAACTTCTCTCCTTATTAAAGTGTGAACTTTAAAAAGAATATCTAGAGAAGTTGAGATATCAAAGAAAGAGTAAACAAAGCAAAAATTGCATTTCTAACTGGATAATCCACTACTTCTAAGGTCAGAGTCATCTGATACATGTTCCTAAGTGAGAATAAACAATGTTGTATGGAAGAGAGGAGAACAAAAGAAAATAGAGATTAAAAAGGAGATTTCCGAATAGAAAATTAGCATGTATTCTTTTAGCGTTTGGAAGTTAGTGCTCATTATTTTTCTGATTTGTACTTTTTTAGAAAGCTAGCATTTCCCCTCATCTGCTTATTTGGTTTCTGCTGTTCCGATTGGATATCAGTAAAGTCCCAAACTCACCTACAATACGTTCTCAAATATTTCAGTGACTAAAATCTTAGTTTTACCTGGGAAACCTGAACATATTTCTGTAGGCAGATAGTTGTCTCTACATGTTGAATAATCTACGTATTGTCTCTACATATTTTTTACAGTAGAAACGGTATGGAACTTCCTGTGGTATCGGTTAAATGCAGCTTCCTAATATTTTTTGGTAGAAGAAAGTTGCTTTGTAAATAAATTCTGATTGGATATCCTGAGTTAAACACTTATGACTATACAAGTTTTCCTGTATTTTTCTGTATTTAAATTAATACTTTGGATGGCTTACATGGACGTGGTGACCATTGATAGGCGTTTGATAGGTGACCATTCATTTTTTTATCGCACTCTTAAACAATAAAAGACCAACTAAAATTTATTAAATATTTTGGATAGTTTTTTTTCTACATTTTCATATTTATGTGTTGTACTTGAAAACAAAGTATATTATTTATTACAAATATTTGCACTGTAAAAATGATAAAAGAAAAAGTAATTTTCAATTTTCAATTCAGCTCATACAAATACTGTAGCACAATCTTTTTGTTGTGAAAGTGCAATTTACAAATGTTGATTTTTTTTTTTTTTTTGGTTACATAACCACACAAAAACAAAGCAATGTAAAACTTCAGAGCCTACAAGTCCATTCAGTCCTACTTCTTGTTCAGCCAATCACTAAGACAAAACAAGTTTAAATTTACAGGAGATAATGCTGCCCTCTTCTTATTTACAATGTTAGCAGAAAGTGAACAGGCATTCGTATGGCACTTTTGTAGCCAGCATTTTAAGGTATTTACGTGCCAGATATGCTAAACAGTCGTATGCCCCTTCATGCTTCGGCTTCCATTCCAGAGGACATGCTTCCATGCTGATGATGCTTGTTAATTAAATGTGTGACTCAACTCCTTGGGGGAGAACTGTATGTCACCTGCTCCGTTTTACCTGCATTCTGCCATATATATTTCATGTTATAGCAGTCTTGGATAATGACTCAGCACATGTTGTTCATTTTAAGAACACTTTCATTGCAGATCTGACAGAACGCAAAGAAGGTACCAATATGAGATTTCTAAAGATAGTTACAGCACTAGACCCAAGGTTTAAGAATCTGAAGTGCCTTCCAATCTTAAGAGGGACGAGGTGTGGAGCATGCTTTCAGAAGTCATAAAAAAGCAACACTCCTATTCAGAAACTACAGAACCTGAACCACCGAAAAAGAAAATCAACCTTCTGATGGTGGCATCGGACTCAGATAATGAAAACGAACATGCGTTTGGATGTTCACCACTTTGGATTATTATCGAGCAGAACCAGTCATCAGAATGGACACATGTTCCCTGGAATGGTGGTTGAGGCATCTGGCATGTAAACATCCTGCAACGTCAGTTACAACAGTGCCATGAGAACACCTGTTCTCACTCTCAGGTGACGCTGTAAAGAAGAAGCGGGCAGCATGATCTCCTGCAAATGTAAACAAACTTGGTTGTCCGAGCGATTGACTGAACAAGTAGGACGACTGAGTGGACTTGCAGGCTCTAAAATTTTACACTGTTTTAATTTTGAATGCAGTTTTTTTTTGGTACACATTTGTACAATTTGGTACAATTCTACATTTGTAAGTTCAACTTTCATGATAAAGAGATTGAACTACAGTACCTGTATGAGGTGAATTAAAAAATTTTATTTCTTGTGGTTTTTTTTTTACAGTGCAAATACTTGTAATAAAAAAATATAGAGTGAGCACTGTACACTTTGTATTCTGTGTTGTAAATGAAGATGTATTTAAAAATGTAGAAAACATCTAAAAATATTTAAATAAACCGTGTTCTATTATTGATTAATCGTGCAATGAATGGTGATTCATTTTTTTTCATCACTTCACAGCCCTAGTTGTTTTCCCTTTTTGTTCCCAGCCCCCTCTTTTGTCTTGTCTAATTTAGTTTACATTAACGGTGCTGAGGAAAATATGTTTGCAAAACCTGGTATACACTTGTTACATCAAAAATATTTTACCTATTCCTAATCCTTCAGTTAATTACCTAAAATATTTTCTATATACCAATACTTTTCTAGATAAAATCAATCTACAACCCAATTTGTGAAAAATTATTTTTCCTCCTCTAAAGTGATATCACTCAGGTATGTAGAGCCCTTTCCTGTAGAACCATCAGGACTAAAAACTTTGGTACAATTTCATAGGGTGATCCAATAGCTCTAATAATTGTAAAGTATTTCAAGTACTGGTGGTTAATAATATAGTTGTATGTTTTCTTCCATAGTCTTATGCCTCAGGGAGTCATTTATGAGGCTGAAAAACAAAACGTGTTCTGAGACCCCATACTATTTTACTTCCTGGATGACAGAAGTAAAGTGAAAAGACCAGATCTAGCATTACTGCAGCCCCACAAATAGCTCCCTGAAGCAAAACATTATGAGCAAGATATTCAGGTTCCAGTGGAGCCCTAACAGTTAAAGGAATTGTACAAAATATAAGCCAGAAAGCTGGGGTGGTTTTTTTTGTTTTGTTTTTTATGAGTTGCAAGTCATTCTTATTTTTCTTTTTAATAAATTCTGAGTATATATTCCACTCTATTTTCAGCTTGTGACATTTTCTCAACCATACACTTGTCTATCCCAACACACCATAAACAAACCTCAATCTTTTTCGATTTCAAAAATCCCAAACCAGAAAATTAAAGCATGATATTACTCATTCAGGACAGTGATGTACAGGTAAGCACATCACTAAATGTGTTTGTCCTCAGTTTTCTACTACAAATTATTAAAAAAATGAAATGCCTTAATTTAAAATCTAAACTCTAAACTCTACATTCAAAGTTGATGAGAAAAAGTCTAGAACCTTTAATTTTGATCCATGGGGCACAGGAGAGAATCCATCTTGTCCAGGTGGGATGAACAACTCCCATTTCCCATAATCAATTTTCTTATATGGATGAGAAAATGGATTCCAGCCATCTGCAATAGAAGAAGAGTATTACTGAGATTCATCCTATTCAAATGTACTAAAATATACATTTACTTTCATTGTCTGAAAGCAATCTTACTGAAAGTGGGTACTGAAAAACAAAATTGTTTTCTTTTACATTTGACACTACCACATAACACTGGATCAGGTTCAGTGAACAGAATTATCGGTTCTTAAGAGATCAGATTCTAATATTAACTCAGCATTATACTTAACAAAAAACTTATATTCCTGCTTTAACTTAATGCTGACAAGGGAACTTTATCATCATACCTATTTTTCTACTGTCGTTAGCTATTCTACAGTTTAAAATCAACAACTACATCTGTGAAGGAGAATCACTGCTCAAGACAAAACTACTTTTACTATAAACCATGATCTTGACCATAGCAGAACGTAAAACTTGCCAGTTTAAACAAAAAATATCTGAAATTTAACATATGCCCTTTGTGACACATTATACCTCAAAATAAAACCCTGTACCCCATATTCACCACTTGAATATGGTTATGATGTATTTTGTACAAAGTATGCCTTGTGAGGTATCTATCACTGGAAAAGTCATAATTTGTGAACATTACTGTTCTGTTGAAATGGATGTATCATCGTTGTATATGAAGTTATGAGATTTTGCTCTATGTTTGTTACTGAAACATGTTGTGAGCCTAGGAAAACACCCACAGACCAGTTCCCCAGAAATAGCAAAAACTGTAAACACAAGCATTACATGTCAAGCCTCACTTATACAGAAGGTGCAAGCAAGAACTTGTGATTCATGTGAAGGACTAAGTGTGAAGCACATAAATAATGAGGGCTGCCTACCCCCAGGATACAGCATGGATTTTTCCAGCATCTGAAGAGTATAAAATAAGGGACAGTGACATCATCAGACCACTTCTCCTCCTCCACCCACACTGAAGACAACAACAAGATCATTTGGGAGACAGAAACATTGAACTGGGGGGAGTGGTCCTAACTGGAAAACTTTCCAGTTAGCATAGACTGCTGTAGACTTTTGGGTAAGAGAAACCTTATTGGCTTAGCCTGGTAAAGCTCAGTAAATAGCTTATTTTATTTCTTTTTGTAAATCAGTTCTGATCTTCTATGCCTAGAATTGCTTAAAATCTATCTTTCTGTAGTTAATAAACAATGTTTTATCTAAGCCAGTGTGGTTTTGATTGAAGTTTGGAGAATGTACTCATGTTACAAAGGCTAGTGCATATTCAGTTCCTTTGATGGAATGATGAACTAATTAATGAGCTCACTCTGATAAAGGGGGTCTTGAGCAGCGCAAGATGCACATTTCTGCGGTGCAAGACTTGAACTAGGGGTATGCAGGCGTCACCCTATACGGAATTCAAGAGTGCTTGGTATAGCATTCTGATATTTTTGCCTGGAGGGTGACTTGCAGAGAGGCTGGGGTGAGTGGGAAGAGTGGCAGCTCACACAGCAAAGCAGGGTATAGTGCACACAAGACTGGAAGGTTAAGGGGGCACAACAATCCAACAGCCCAGATTGTACCCTGAGGCATGTCACACACGTCTAAAATACAAGCCTGGAAAGCTTGGGGAAAAATATCAGATAAGGATTTCCAGTTCAAGAATGGAGTTCTTTCTCACTGAAGACTTTCCTACTTTTTTTGGTTTATACTGAGAAAAAAGTTCAAGCATGAAACTATTAGTTTTGTGAACCCCAAAATGGGTAAGCACATGTGACTAATCAGAGACATTTGGAAGGTTTAGTTATTTAAGGTAGCACATTCCCTCTGGCAGTAGAACTCTAAATCCTCAGATATCTCCAGTGTGTAAGACCTACAAAGGCAAGCTGGTTTGGTGGATTGAGCAAAAGGCAGGAAAGCAACTCTTGAATTCCAATGCCCACATAGTAAGGCAAAGCAATCTTAATACTGCATTTATATAACACCTTCCATTTCAAGATATCCAGTTTGACCCAGTTACTAATAATTGTGGTAGCTCCCAGAAGCTTCAAATCAGGGTAAGGACTCCACTGTGCTTGGCAGTGTATAAACACACAGGTCAGTCAAAGAGCTGCTAATATATAATACACACACACCCACCCCTTTAAGCTCATTTTCATCTTCAACTTTGTACTAATTACTTCCATTTCAATGAACTGTTTGCAAACAAACATTCACTATACATTGTTATGTATAAATCTGTTCACATGTGTAGGCAAGTGCTCCAAAATATTCTAACCAGAAAATATTGCCCAAAATATTATGATTAGAAAAATACAGACATGCAGATACCATTCAAGAAATGCAGTGTCCTAAAACTTCACAATTAAAATGAAGAATTTTCTCCTACCTCATAATAAGTCACCTCTACCCCTTCAAGTCCCTTCTATTATGCCACGTCTTTCCAAAGGAGGAGTTTCTTTTGAAACCAGTTAATTCACTTTCTTGGATGTAGCCAGGAAGAGGAATAGGGAAAAGTTTATATTGTTAAATAAACTCCCTTGCAGGGACTGATGCTGCCTCTGTTATGCTGATATCACTCACTGTTGCTAAGGAGCCAAGAAACAGCTAGTCCCTAACATGACAATGGATCAGAAGAAAAAAAAAAAAAAAAACTTTCCTTTTTTTTTTTTTTGAGAGGGAAAAAATTATATCATCTGTTCAAGCCTTATTGACAACTTTAGGAAGAGTCAACGAAGTTCACATTTTATTGTTATTTGTATTGCACTAGTACTTAAGAGACCCAGTCATGGACTAGTACCCCCATTATGTTAGGTACAGTACACATACAGAAAACAGTCCCTGCCCTAATGAGTTTTTCTGAGACAAGTGGAACACAAGGAAACAGTAGAATAATGTTGATCGGCAGGACAGGCAGTGCTCTCAGCATACCAGCTGCCTAGCCATTGTCAAGATTTTAGTAGCTGAGTTTTAAGGAGAGATTTGAAGGACAATAATGAGGTAGCTTGGCCAATGTTTACAGGGGAGATGCTACCATTCATAAGAAACAATATGGGAGAAGGCTCAAAAGTGCTTATATGAAAATTTAAACAAGTGGGTGATGAAGGCTGGCTTCATTGCCAGAGTGGAAGTAACATCTTGATAGGCAGGTTGTGAAGTCCTTCAAATGAGTGAGCGAAGATATTTCCAGGCTATTCAGTGCCAAGTTTAAGGACGAGCCAACAAAATAGCAAGGAACCATAACATATCAGACTTAAAAGTCCAAATTTCTGTTTTCACTTAACTGAGGGTGCCTTTAAGAAGTCAACATCTACATCCAAGATACTGCCCTTCTTTTTTTGGAACAGAACAAACATTGACTTTTATGGTGGCTAGCATATATCCCCATAAAGATGGGGGTTATAAAGTAAACATTAAACAACTGCACAACTGGCATTTCCCTATCTACAAATTGGGTTGCCGAAAATTAAAACCCAGAATAGATTGACTGCAATGAGCAGAAAAGGAAAATCTGACTGGTTGAAACAGTAGATGCTTCATGCACAGCATTATGGGGGGAAACTGATTTTTCTGGAATTTGTTACAATCAGGACAAAACATAATTGAGAAAACAGCTTAAGTCAACCCTCTGTCTAGCCTAACCTCACCACAAAGGTTATAGAACTCAGATTTTCAGAAATGTAGCTTAAATAAAGTTTCTGCTCACCACATCCACCACTCTGAACAGATGTGTTATTGATAGCTGAATTCATGAACTGTCTAGAGTACAAAGGGAAAGTAACTAAATTGCAGACAAACTCAACATTCAGGGCTGTCTGGCCAAAGGAAGGGGCAGGTGATGGCAACATATCTAGCTCTTATCACATGGAGGAATGCAATGACTATTCATGTCCAGCAAATCTAATAAAACCAGATTCCCTCTGCAGATCCAGGCCTTGTCAAATACGCTTTACTAGATCCTACAGTTTAAGGTTCTTTGCATCCCATTGAGTTGGAAGGCATTACAGATAGGAGTAATCACCAGTACAAGCCAAACAACTTTATCATATAGCCCAATACCTTTTATAAGATAGAACCTATGTTTTCAGTATCCCCCTCAAAGAAACATTTCCATCAGAGGGTGTGAACAGAGGGTAAAGAGGATTGTACAAGCATGTAACACTGCTGTACTTGCTTTCAGCGCTGTGCCCCAGGTTCTCATCTTGATCATTTGGCAGCTGTTTATAGAGATTAAGGGAGATCCTAACCACTATGTTTAAACCTAAAATGCTCCACATTTCATTCTTACATGGTTATTTTTAACATGGGGGGGGGGGGGAGAGAGAATATAGATTCTTACTATGTTTTCCTGAGTACAAGTTGAGTTCACCTATTGCATAAATTGTTTCCCAAACTCATGATAGCTTTGGGTTCTACTGTATTCAGAGTTATACAACGCACAAGAATACCAAGTATGAAAATTAGATAAAGAATGCTATCCTGATTCAGCAGTTTAAGAAGCTTTAATTTTATCTATTTTATTTCCCCCAAAGAAACTAAATTGAGTTCTCTTGGGCCAAACCCCATGACTATAAGAAAGATACTTGAAACAGAAGTAGAAATTGTAAATTAATGTATTCATTTAGTGCAGTGATCAAAAGGACTCTCTAAAACATTCACAGACTATCCCATTTTAAATTCAACTATTGCTTAAAAATGCTTGAATAGAGCTTTTTTTTGGTAAGTCCTGTGGGGTTCTAATTCATACTCATGTTGTCAGTGTTTTCTATATTTTATGAATTTTTTTATTAGAGTCTCTGTCCAAGAATAGCAAAAAATATATATGTATCACTCCTCAAAAGAAACATCCATTGCAAACACAGGTGTAAATGTGTTGCAGTAACCTCATTGTTTCAACATTCCTTTTTAACCATCAATATGGGAGGGAGAAGGATCTCTCTTTAAATAAACCTTTATTTTTTTCTTTAAAGACATCTGGAGCAATATCAAGCATATTCTGATAGTCAATAGTTTATACCTAAACCAAAGTAATTGCATTGCTCTCTTATGAGA